CTGTGGAGTCTCTTTGGCTGTGCACAGGACACTCCCAAAGCCTCCACAATCTAAGTTTGACCATGGCCTCTCCAAGCCTACATTCCTATGTCAGACCTATTGTGGCTTGTATTTCAGACCCTTCTCTCTCATTTTTCACTCATTGTTTAAGACAGGAATGTTTAAGAGAACAGGAAAGGCCATGGAGACTGTATCTAAACCGACAGAGGGAGAATGGGACTTAGCGTTCCCTGCAGGGCTTTGAAGGAGCTTTAGAATGAAGCAGGCAAGCTATAGAAAACATGTAATCTGTTATCAGGAGTTAGCCCTAGCTGGCTGCAAGTGGTGAATATAGTAGCTAAGGATTAATAGCAGTCCTTAACTTGCTGATTATAAAAATAGTTAAGAGCAAGAAATAGGGACAAAACAGTTCTGCTGCTGTGTTGTGCTTTCTGAGCTGTTTCCTGAAAAGTGTGAACAAAAACCGATCAAACAAAAAAGCCCCCAAATGCAGTGTATTTAAACAACTTCACTAATTTTTAAAGCCTTTTGGAAATGAGAAAGCAGCAAAGGAAACTTTAGTGGAAAGCTATCTCATGGATTAATATGGCTTTGCAAGAAGAATGCAAAGAATAAGTTTAAATTGCTATTTTCTGTGTGCTGTCAGATTAATATTTCTGCTACCCAGAGTTCAGGAACATAGCTAATATTGGTTCGATGAATATCTTAAGGAGCTGCAGCCAAGTGGGGATTAGAGAAGCAGAAACAGCACATGAGCACTCACTGGGGGTTTTTTAACTGCTTAATTAAATGAAGGATTATTCAGTTGTTTCCCAGAGACACCTGAAGAGGGAGCAAAATACCATTGTATTTTTCACGAAGAGTTTTTTCACTAAAGTCTTCTAAGCTGTCCCATTAAGAGATCAGATATATTCCTCTCTCCCTTCAAGCAAATTACCAGAGTTCAGGACACTGCCAGGATCATCCATTGAATATATGGCTAAAACAGAACCATGCTTCCAGCTAGTCATTATCCACCGGACTTTGCATTACAGGAAGAGATACTAGCAAAAAATCATGGCAGAAACGTAAATCCCTGATTACTTTATTCATGTGTGAGATCTTCAAGATGCCAGTCAGGACACAGTGCCCCACCAGTGGACTATTTTCTGTGCAAGTATTCTGAGTACAAAGGGCTCAATGGATACCAAGAGGATATAAGGAAAATGATGTGACAGGAGTCAGAAGCTTACTTTCCATTAGGAGAGGATACTCACTTTCTATTCCACCTTCACACATCTCAGAAACAATCAGACTTTTGTTTCTTAAAACAGAGATGATTAATGCACACAAGAAGAGTACAGGAGAGTATCTAGACAATTTTGTACAAAAGTAACTGAGCAGCATAGTAACAGATGAAATTTAAAAGTGAAGTATGAAGAAACATACTGCAAAGAACTGTTGAAGACAACCCAGCCACAAATGGGTTTTAAAATAGTTTTCACCTCCTGGAGGAATGATTTTTAAAATAAGTGCAGACCGCTGCCTTTTTCTCTGCCTCTAGCACCATTCAGGAGAGATTAATCTTAAACTGCAGGGAAGACAGAATATTATGTTTCATAATCCTTGTGTATCTTGCATTTAGTTTTGTTCAGCATATTTCATAAGTAAGAAGAAGCAAAAAAAAGTCTGGAAAAGAGCAACCAACAATCACTAAAAACAGGGGATTAGTTATGCCCCAGAAAGATATGCACAAACTGAACTTGTTATTTCTGGGGAAAAAAAACCAAACCAAATCAAAACAAACCAAACCAAAACTAAACTAAACTACAAACAACACCCCCCCCCAAGAAAAAACACAAAAACCCACCAAAATTATAAGCTACAACTTAGCAACGACTACATAACACATTTACTACAGAAAAGTTTCATCAGTCATTTGTATCATGTATCTGTAAGCCCCTAAATGAAAAAGCTCTGGGACTTTTAATCAAATTCATTAGACAAAACAAGAAACTTAGAAAGTACACTCTAATTTACTTGTTTAGTTTTCAGCTTGGAATATGATGAAGGCAAAAAGCTTAATATCATTTTAAAAAAAAGGTTTAGACACATATCCTAGAAGCATAAGAAAAACATCTGCAATGCTAGTAGTTTGGATGGATTAAGTGTTCTCAGCGCTCTGAGACTTCATGATTTAGAATCATAAACTCATCCTGAGCAGTTTTTAGTGTCCACGAAGCATCCAGCATTGATCATTGTCAGAAACGGTGCTAAACTACTAATCTGCTCTGATACAACACCTGACACATTCCTAAAGTCATACATAAAAAGAAGCAGACAACGAAGCTGGGATATCAAAACCTGATTATAAAACTACCAGCGAAGTGATTACTTGGTTGCAAAAGTTTTGAAAATTTGACACAACAGGCAGCAAAACTAGCATTAGATCTCTGCAGGGAGGAATTCCACCCCTCCACTAACAGAAACAACCTATGGGTGCTACCACCTGCAGCAGTGGCTTCCTCTCAATGAAGACGCTGGCCCGTAGATCTACAAATCATGAACGTGTTATCTCGTGACTTAGTCAGGCTTCACATTTAACAGCTCCTCCTGTTATCTCGTGACTTAGTCAGCTCCTCCTGCTGCTATACACAGAGCCCTTGTAGTTCTGCAGGGAACTGGGTATACACTTAAAAACATTCAGCCTGCCACAGCGCACTAGTTTTATTTCTATGGGAGAACACAGCTAAATTCACCAGTTTATGGCCTTATCTCTGTTTATGTTATAAATAGTTTCTCCTTTAAAATCCTAAGGTAAACTCTCATCTGAACCATGGAGCCATGCTAGTGCTCTTATTTCATGAAAGGTCCTGCTGTCTGGCCTATAGTTTAAATACAAGAACTGTATAGGCTTTAGTGGATTACATGAGATTAGCATATCATCATTACATAAGAAGACCCAATTATATAAATCTCCTTACAAAAGGAGTCTTAATTTGGAGCTTTTCTCAGGGATAAGTTGATGCTTTGGAGACTAATTTGACAATATCTTCATTTAAGCAGCTGCAGAAGTATTTCTTACTTTATATCTTGGATTATTCAAAAGATCATGTCCCAGCTGATCATGTACATGAGAGGACAGTAATCTTTGGCTCCCACAGATACACAAAGCAAACATATTATCAATGTAGGCAATTGTCATCCCCTCCAAACAGGATATGGCTGAAATTGTTCCATCTGTTTGATTCATTAGAAAGAAAAATCATTAAAAAATAATTTGAAAATGTGGCAGCTTCGACCAATTACTTGACACCTAAAAATAGAAATTGAGGCTAGTAGAAATTACTGGGTTTGTATTATGTTTTGTCACATAGAATCAGACTCTCAGACAATGCTCAAGGACTTTTATTATACCTGTTATTTTCCGTTTTCCAGCAAATGGTGGCAGACTCCACAATAGAATTAGACTAGCTTTAAAGTTAAAATATAATGGACTTAATAAAAATTATACCCTTTTATTAGTCTTTTAATTCTTGAGTCCTTAAAATTCTTTTCAAAAACCTCAAAAGCAACAAAATTATGTTTTTAAGAAAAGCTAAACTTCTGACAAATTGTTAGCTCCTGAATCTTTCAGATGTGAATGTCCTTGTGAGTTAACTTAATTAACTTTGGCCTTGAGTCCAAAAATGTTCTTTTTAAAAATTGCTACCTTGAATCACCTATCTTTTTAGCCTACTTTCACTATGGGAACTGGTTTATAAGGATTCACAATGTGTTTTCTGATAGTAAAAGAGAAGTTGAGGCAGTCCTATCCTCGGACAACTCTTGCATTTGGAAGTCCTTTCTTGCTATTCCCTGCTTCATTGCAAATTACCTGATTTTATGCATTCATGCTTTGTACCCACTACTCCTCTATACTCATCCAAAAAAGACACCACAGTTGTGTTACTTGCCTTGAACCAAGAACTGGTTACAGAGAAGTTGTATCCCACACTTCTGTCTATCTTATACTGAGGTCCAAAGCCTCATTATACACTCCTGTGAATCTACAGATAACTAGACCTCTATCAGTCTACAAGCAGCTACTAGAACAAATGCTTGAGCAGGGCAGTCCAATATCTCGACACAGAAAACAGCAGCATTGAGTCAATGTTCTCAGCTGGAGCTCTGTCACTGTTTTAAGTTGACAAAGATTGACTCTGAACCCTGGGTCTTCTTAATTGTGGTGGGTTGACGCTGGCTGGACACCAGGTGCCCACCAAGCCACTCTACCACTCCCCCTCCTCAGCTGGACAGGGGAGAGAAAATATAATGAAAGGCTCATGGGTCGAGATAAGGACACGGAGAGAT